AGATATAGTAATAATTTATTTGAAAAGAAATACTATAATAAAAAAAAGTTAATTACAAGAACTTGGTTCATCCACTTCAATTACTCTAAGTATTAAATAATTTTTTTTATTGATATACAAAAGACTGCTCATTTATAATTAGTAGCTCTAAGTAAGTAATTTTTTCAAAAAGTATTTAAAGGTATATATATACAGAAAGAAAGAATATGTTTGTTTTCAAAAGAAAAAAAATAGAACTAAAAATCAGTTATCAGTAAAAAATAGTCTTAAAATCAGTTATGTGTCTGTAATTATCAGTAATTTATTCAAGATACTTTTTGTTTTAAAAATCCTATGAAACTTTTATAATTAATTGTTAAAAATATATGAAATATTTATAATAAATTATTAAAAATAAATTATAGCAATCATTTTTTTTCGACTGACAACAGATGTTAGGTTTAGCTGCAACCCTCTTTTTAAGAGAAATTTTAATAACTCCTACTATTATGTATCAAAATCACATTAAAAGAAATAACTAAATTAATACAATGCTTTTTATTATGTAAATTTCAAGAAAATCCAATTTTCTTTAAATAAATTGCTTCATTGCAAAATATTAAACATAACTGAAAATAAAATGCATTTATTTAACAAATAGTTCTGTATTTTCAATGTAAATATGAAGGGTTTTCTGCATTAAAATACAGGATCAGTATCTAGAAAGACATAATGCACAATTAAGAAACTAAAGTAATTGCAAAAGAATATTATAATCAGTCATTTAGGAAAAAACTTTCCAGAAAAATATAATGAAGTATGATGCATTAGTAATCATAGTTTACTAATGCATCATAAATAAAAAAAACTTAGTAGAATAAGGAAGTTACCCCGTAGGTTGTCAACCCAATTTATGCTATAAAAAAAACATCACTGGGAGTACAGAAAAGTCGCCAAATAGTCTCCTTTTCCTGACAATAATTGCTTTTTTTTTAGCTTTTTTAGGCAAAACAAAATCAACTCAGGTCAAAAATAGTTGCAAATAGTCGTCTGTGGCAACCCTATATGTATAGTGAATTAAATTTTTTCTGCCACCTCTTTAAATAAGTCATTTTATGAGAAAATAAGTTTTGTAAACAGCTTCCTATTGTACCATACTTTGTAAAGTTAATTGTATACAAATTCTCAAAAATGCCACTTAGAAACTAAAAATGACAAGTTTCTTCCACAGTAGAAAAAACAATCAAATAATCTGCCTTGGAAGAGTTAGATCTCTCCCAACTATGTGAAAAAAATATAAAATACTCTTAAAAAAGCATTATCATCCAATATTAAAGCAGTTTATTTTATTATAAACATGTAATTGCAATTCAGTTTATTGTAATACAAATTAATAGTTATTTTACAAGTTGTTTATTACATTATTACAAAATAAATTAAACGTAAAGAGTCTTAATTGGAAGGGAAAATAAATTTATAGATTTTCTTAAGAAATAAAAACTGTAGTTTTTCAAAAAACCGTAAAAATATCGATAAAATTTTCTCTGTAGTACATATTTATTTGGGAGAAAAATAGGGATAACATAAATCTCATTAAAAAATACACTGTTACAATAGGTGATAGATTTTAATAACATACATAATAAAATTAATAATATAGAAATAGTGCTTTTTTAAAAGAAAGTTAAGATCGAAAACATTTACATTTAATTGTATGTATCAGGGTATTTAACCCCTCGAAAAAGGAAAAAAAACTGGANAAAAAAAACTGGATTTGTTTTTAAAAGTTTTCAGGGTCTGTTTTCCACCTTTGCCTAAATAAAACTTTTTAGGGGAGGGGTATTAACTAAAGTCTTTCCTTTCTTTAAATCAATTATTTACTTATTTAATTTTAATTATATGACCTTTTCTACAAAAACTTAGTGTATGTATATAACAGTAATACTGAATAATAGAGAAAACAAACTGAATATAGATTGTTGAAGTTGAATTTAATGTTAATCTCAGGTCTGTTGATTGTGGTATTTTAAGTAAAATTATATATATGTAGTTCTTTTAGGATGAAGGGAATGCTATTAGTGTGAATCAATTAATACTTCATCAGTATTAAGCTGTCTGACAAATTTCATTAACTGGTAATAGCTTTATATTCACAAAAAAATAAATCTAAATCTTAAAAAAAAAAATTTGATGAACAATAAGAACAAAGTTAACAAATATTAATGTAAAAAAACAAAGCTAACATGATATTTTATCCCTGCTCCTAGAAGAGAATGTATTAAAAAAATTTATTAATACCATTCGAATAAAATAAAAATATTTAGTTAATTTTTTTTTTAATTTCAATTAATTATTGAATTATAATTTTGAAAAAAAAGTATTCTTTCAAACTAAAATTGTTTTCTTGAAAATAAAGATTAAAAAAATATCTAATTTAAATAAATTATTTGGGCATTACTAAAGAANAAATTTTCTTTGGGAGAAAAATAGGGATGACATAAATCTTATTAAAAAATAAAATCTTACAATAGGTAATAGATTTTAGTAATATAAATAATAAAATGAATAATATAAAAGTAGTATTTTTTTAAAAAAAAGTAAGATCAAAAGCATTTTGTATCAGGGTTTTTAACCCCTCCCCCCCCAAAAAAAAAACTGGTTTTGTTTTAAAAAATTTTCAGGGTCTGTTTTCCACTTTGCCTAAATAAAACTTTTTAGGGGGGGGGGTATTGACTAAAGTCTTTCCTTTCTTTAAATCAATTATTTACTTATTTAATTTTAATTATATGACCTTTTTTACATAATCTTAGTGTATGTATATAGCAGTAATACTGATTAATAGTGAAAACAAACTGAATATAGATTGTTGAAGTTGAATTTAATGTTAATCTCAGGTCTGTTGATTGTGGTATTTTAAGTAAAATTATATATATATGTAGTTCTTATAAGATGAAGGGAATGCTATTAGTGTGAATCAATTAATATAAAATTCATTAAATACTTCAGCAGTATTAAGCTGTCCGGCAAATTTCATTAACTGGTAATAGCTTTATATTCACAAAAAAATAAATCTGAATCTTAAAAAAAAAATGAAGTTAATTTTTTTTAATTTTAATTAATTATTGAATTATAATTTTGCAAAAAAAGTATTCTTTCAAACTAAAATTGTTTTCTTGAAAATAAAGATTAAGAAAAAAATTTTATAATTGAATTTTCTATTATTCGTATAAATACTCCCAGTTTGGTTGTAACAAAATGAAAAAAAAAATTTTTTTCTTACATACTTTATAATTTTTAGCTTTATTGCTTTTGGGAATTTGT